CATGGAAATATAGACATTGATTTAAAAATAGTTAAAAGAATCATGCAAACACTGAATTAAACTCTATCCATAATATTATGTTAAAGTAGTGGATGTTAAATAGGTTTGTACAATAAGTCCAAACAAGTTTAACCAAAAAATATTTATTTCTCACAATTATGAAGGTTGGAGGGTTAGGGTTAGGGTTAGGTTTAGGGTTAGGATCAGGGTTAGGGTCACAAAGGAAGCAGGAGCTTTACCTCGAAGTCACATGATCCCTGAATCCTCCTCATTATGTCGTAAAGGATTCATTAGAAAAAGCGTAATGGAAAGAAAGGCCTTCTTCAGAAGGCAAAACACTCGTTTCCATCATCAGTCTCAGACACACAAAGCCTCCTTCCTTTGGTTTTAGCCTCTTTGGGGGATCCAATGGGAGTCACAGGAACCATAACTTAGCTCAGTTATGTGTATTGGCCAACAAAAATCAAATCATCATCCAACTCCACCCACATCCAAGTCGGCCATTTTGATTAGGTCACCAATTGGAAGATCCCAGGAAAGAAACTTTTTAATTGCTTCATGGAAATATAGATATTAATTTAAAAATAGTGAAATTAATCTAGCAAACACTGAATTAAACTCTATCCATAATATTATGTTAAAATAGTGGATGTTAAATAGGTTTGTACAATAAGTCCAAACAAGTTTAATAAAAAAATATCTATTTCCCACAGTTATGAAGGGTGGAGGGTCAGGGTTAGTGTCAGGGTTAGGGTTAGGATTATGTTTAGGTTTAGGGTTATGTTTAGGGTTAGGGTTAGGGTCAGGTTTAGGGTTATGTTTAGGGTTAGGGTTAGGTTTAGGGTTAGGACATCATTTATCTTCCGATTTCGTATAGACAGTAACGTTTCGTTTCCACCTCAGAAAGCTGCTAGTCAGATGACCTAATCAAAATGGCCGACTTGGATGTTTGAGGAGTCGGATATCCAACCGAGGCTCCTACAGGCTGCAGCCAAACTAAAAGTCCAGCAGACACTGAGCCTATTTTCTCCGTTCTTTAGACCCCCGAGGAAGAGACAGAACTCTACATGCCCGCAGTGATGTCATCACGTGTTCCTCAGAAACTCTCAGCGTGCCTTTGCTTCTGTGTTCGTCACCATGATTCGACAGGAGGTGTTTAGTAAAATTCCATCAAACCTGCTTTGATAGGAAATTAGTGCAAAAAAAACAAAAACATTATACGGCCACATCTCATAAGAAATTAAAGTAGTCATACTCATCGTAAAAAACAATGCTTTAAAATGTTATGAAATCCAAGAAAACTTTATTAAAGTAGTCATACTCATACTTATCGTAAAAAACGATGCTTTAAAATGTTGAGAAATCCAAGAAAACGTTCAGTTTTCTTTCAAATAGATACTTGAGAATATTCATTGAAAGTGGGTCAAAAATCTGTCTGATTCTGCTCACATTTGTGCGAGAGGACCTGATTGGGTTCATGCTGGGGTTGTTGGTAAATAAAGGAGGGCTTAATTAGGTTGTCTTAGAAGGCAGAAAAACTGATATTTACATAATGCATGTGGAAATATATATATATATTAGCATTAGCATTAGCATCTGTAACCCACAGGTCTGTGTCCTAACCATTAAGTTGTTATCAGAGTAAATCCCTGTTCAACATGCGTCTGACACCTAAGTAAGTAGATAAATAACTTTAAACTTTAAGACATGCTCTGATAGGCCGGGATATATATGTGTGTGTGTATATATATATATAGCAGTGCATTCTAGTAAGAGAGGAAACGGGGAAACAGGCTGGCAGGCAGATGGCAAATGAAAGAAAAAGGGCTCCCATAAAAGGAGGAGTGG